TTTGACGCCGCCACCGCAGTTTGTCCTTCATGAGCCTTCGTAGACAAGATGGAGGTGCAAGATGGCGGCTGCCTGCAATGGCGACCCGCGACCATGGAGATATAAACAGCTTTTTATAAGGTAAAAATAATAAAACAAGGTCTTTGCAATGATTAGACATGTTTTTTTTATTATTGTCATTAGTGATTAACTCAATTTCAGCTAAAAGAATTGACAAAATCCTACACACTGTGCCTTTAAAGAGAAAATTATTCTTTGCCCTATAGACAAGTTTCAAACCAAGAGTTGGACCTTAGTTAGTATCTGAAGTTCATTAAATGTTTTTATCAGCAGTTCATCTTCTTTAAAGGGACTAAACGTGTTACTGTGTAGTTTGGTGTCACTGTGAGCACTAAGCTGACTTTTATACGTAAGAGCTGCCAGAGGAGCTCAGACAGAAGATTGTAGATGTTCGTGTTAGAAGTAAAGGTTTCAACACAATCTCCAAGCCCACCTTCTGAGGCAACATGAGAGAAGATTTATTACCTGTCTCCAGGCAGACACCTGCAGCTTGGACGCTCTCTGGCTTCTCTCCGTTGTACACCATGCAGATGAACTGCAGGCAGTAGATGCCAAGATCCAGCAACGCTCCTCCGCCGAGCTCCTTCGTGGTGGCTCTAGGCACATGCATCAGCGGTACGCCAAACTCAGACCTGACCATCTTCACGTCGCCCAGCTCCCCCTGATCGAGCAGCCTTCTGATCTCCACAGAGACCGGGAAAAAGCGGGTCCAGACCGCCTGAGAGAACACGAGATGCAGGAACTTGCTCTAGTTAGATTTAGAGATTCTGGTTCTGTGGGACTTCACTTCAGTCGGCTCCATCTTTACCTCCATGAAGAAGACGTTGTTCCTCTTGGCAGCTTCCAGGATCTCTTTCACCTCCCTGGTGTTCATGGCCAGAGGCTTCTCACACAGCACGTTCTTCTTGGCATTGGTAAAGAGCAGACTAGTCTTCAGGTGGTACGGGTGGATAACGCCGATGTACACTACGTCTGCTCGCACATAAAGACAGAAACTGAGGTGAAACTTAAGGACAGACCTAATATTGTCTTATAAAACAGTCAAAGTCAGTGGAATTAAAATTTTATTTATAAAGTTGATAGATTTTAATTTTTTGGTTTCAAACGACCAGACAAAACAACCTGATCCACAGACTCTGACCTATGTCTGGATCTCTGGCCAGCTCCTCGTAGCTGCCATATGCTTTAGGGATGCTGTGTTTGCTGGCAAACCCCTGAGCATCCTCCAACTTCCGAGCTGCAACAGCCACAACCTGAGAAAACAGATGAGTTACTGAACCTCAACCTTATTGCACATTATCACATATCCTGGCTGCAACATTCTGTTCTTTTAAGACTTCTTAAAAAGTGCCATTAAGGAGATCCCAGAATCAGAATACTTTATTGGTTCCTGTGGTAAATTGCAGTTATTAAAGCTGCAACTCTTCAAATAAAAAATCATTAGAATTAGTGAATAAAAGAGAAGCACACTAGAATAAAATAATTACACTTATGGACATATAAACAGTGATTTGGTATAACAGAATATATAAATATATTGCACATCATTTTAAAATTGTCCCAGATTATTTCCTGATGCATCTCAGTAATCCAGGTAGAAAAAAATCAAAAAGAAAAATAATAAGTAGGTCCTCTGGATGGGTTCTTCTTTAGTGAAACGTTTCGTCTCTCCTCCAAGAGACTTCTTCAGTCTGATGAGTTTCAGGTGAACTCAGCCTTTTAAGCACTGCCTCCACATGGACAAACAGGTTAGTCAGAAGCAAAAGAGGACCATCGCCTAACAATAGGCTTGATTAGCCTATTGGAGGACATGGAGGAGGCAACAAGTACATGGAGGAGGTGGAAAAGAGAGCTGTGATGTCCTTTACAGGGACACCACCAAGCCATTGGTTCAGGTATGTTGATGACACCTGGGTTACAATTAAAGCCCAGGAAGTCCAACAT